GGACGCGGCCGGAGCGGGAGCGCCGGCGGGCGGAGCTGCTCCGGTCGGAGGCGGGCGGGAGCCCCCGGGCGCGCCCGCCCCGGTGCAGCCCGGCACCTCTGCGTGCTGGAAGAGCTGGCTCCGGCGGGACCCCGGCTGCTGCTTGGGGAGTTAATAGTGGCCGCTCTTCTAAGGTCTACCCCCAGCAACATGGTCGTCTCTGAAGTATTTCTTTGTGTCTTCAAGCTCACAGATTTTCAGTATTAAGATTTCTTCCTTCCTACTACATTCATGTGAACCCCACTACTATATTTTCCCTTTTATTAATATTTATATAGCATTATTTTCAATTTATTCACCAGGCCGTGTGTAACCCTTTCAGCAAAGTTAAAAACACCACCACCACCACCAAAGCTCTGTTGCTTTGAAGTACCTGCTTTTCCTGCAGAGATTCCTTAAACTCCTGGATACCAGCCCATTTCTGGGACTCATGAGCTTTCTCCATTCTTTAAGTCATATTCTTGCCTCCAAGCGGGGTGAGAACTAACTGTTTGGATTGTCAGTCACCCATGGGATGCCAGCAGCAGATTACACCTCTTGGTATGGTAAGGTGCTAGACAGCAAGGATTAAAACCAGGAAACACGTGCTCCTGCGTGTCCCCTTACACTTCCAACAAGATACAGAAGCCAGATGAACTAGAGAAAGAGAGGAAACAAAAGCAGGACTGTTGACCTCAGGCGGATCAGTAACCATCGACCAATGTCAGTGATATCTGATGGAAGGGAGGTCTTGCAGGTAGCAACACTATAGCAAGTAGTATTTCAGTGTGCACCAGAGAGAGGGAAGAACTGTGTGTGTGGCCCAGCGGTAAGAGAGACTGCAGTATGAGGTCACCTCACACAGACATAAAAATCTGCTTTGAGGAAAGACCTAACAAGTACCCAGCTATCAGAAAAAAACCTCATCTGACACTCATAGGCACTACTGAAACATAAATCCATAGCAGTTGAGGTTTCTGTACTTGGCTCACAGAATTTCTTGTTTTTAATGACATCTTCCATTCTGTTAGCATCACCTGCTTTTGAAAGTAGGCTTTCCATCGTACCTGCCTCTGCATTGGCCCAGCTCCCCCGTGAGCGTGCACGGGACTGAGGGGCTGGGGTCAGATGTGCCCGACGCAATCTGAGCACAGGCAGAGTCTCCTGTGGTCAGAAATGCAGCAGACGGTGAGCAGGGTTTGGGAGCCCAGTTGCTTGCTTTCCCTTCCACCCCCACATCTTGATTTGACTAAGATAATAAAATAAGCACGTTTCACATGGTAAGGATGAGATCTAGTTGGGCAGCTCTTTGACCATTATCAAGCTGAAAGTGTTTTCCTCTTCAGTCACGTATTTTCCTACACTTTGTTAGTTGCCTCACCGTGTCCACTCCCAATAAGAGCTTTCCCTGTTTAACCACCCAGAACGTGTTCAGGAGCCTTGAGCTCAAGGTGACTTACCCCTCCAGGGTGATAAAGCAAGTCTTTTGTCCCTCCTCCTCAGCTAAGCAAATATTAGGCTGAAAAAGGTCTTTAGAAATGGCAAGGGTACATCAAAATAAGTTAAAGCATTAAGGCAAAACATGGAGAAAGAAGAATATTTCCTCATTGTGTGAATGCATTTTTTTAAAAATAGTGTCTGAAGTACAGCTAAGCAGATAGGAACTAGGTAAATTTTGTTCAAAATAGATTCATATCATAAAAGCTGATAACATTGTACGGTTTAATACTCACTGTAAAAGCAATTTTTCAGTTGCTTAAAATGTCACTAAGGCAGAGCAAATTATAATCTGGTGCTTCCTAAAAATGTGTTGACACAGTTCATTAAATCAGTCATTCTTCGTGACAGCTTTTCAATACATTTCTGGAACGGGACTCTCTAAGCGTACTCAGTGGATTACATGCAGGATCATTTGCATGTTACTCTTACCCATTCCAACCTCAAAGGAAGATTTTTGCCTCATCTTTTGTTCTGCACCTTAAATTCCCATAGAGTTCATTAGAAGTTCATCACCTGATTTCTTTCCTTCTCAAAGGTCATATGTTACCAGTGTTCATATTTACTCTCATAATCTTATCTTTGAAGAGATGAACCAATTTAAGTCACATACCATTATCAAAAGGGGTTTGCATACTATTGCAGAGAAAACGTGAAACCTTGGCAAGATGAAGCAGCTGACACCTCTCTCAAATCTTGTCCTCGAAAGCTTTTCACTGGGACACACCTAGAATAACATTCCAGTTTCCAGGGCTGGACTGAATCTGGTAAGGTGCTTTCCTTGAGGGCTTTAGAGGCTTTCATATCCCCAGCACCTGGGAAAGCAGAGAGCATCCATCACTCCATGGGACTACATCTATTCTATGTGTTTAAAATAATGATACATGAAGGTAGGAGTTGAACGTTCCAAGTGTACATCCCGCTTTTGTCTTCAGTGACCATGTTTACAAATGCTAACATGCTGTTCCAGACAGCAAACAAAAATTAAACAAATGGCTGATTGGGTGTCAAGACTAATAAGTTGACATTTGTTCTCCCCCCGCCCCCCCAAGATATTACTTTTTCACCTGCCATTAGGCTTCAATGAATATCATCAAATCAGTTTTTCCGGCTGAGCTTAGTAAAAACCTGTTATTTGAGTAATTTAGGCTCTTTATGTATAAAAGCCTCTTCACATTTCTGTATACCCCCGACTCTGTGCTAAGGCCCTCATCCCTCATTCTTCATGCACTTATTGAAGTTAAATTATTTTGTTCACACCTGATAATGTACTTTATTTGTAAATCTCATCTTTGATATGTCATTTTTGTTATATAGAACTGTTTCAGATTAAAAAAAAAAAAAGGCAAGGGAACCTTTTTCTTTGATTTTTTTTCCTCTCCAAAAATAATTATTTGTTTGATTTTTTCCCCCTCCTCCAGAAATAGTGTTAATCACATAACATCTTCTGCATTTGTGATTCATACTAAGTGTATAATATAACAGTGGGCATTGGTGTCAATTCTTTGGCCCTGTGTTAGTGAGGTAAGGTAAGATAGACATCGTCAGAGCTAGCTAAGGAAATCCAATTTCCCCAGCACAGGTTGATTTAGTGAGGCCAGACTGTATCTATCAAAGTGTTTGTGTTGGAGGAACTGGCACTAAATCCTGGATCCTTCGTCCCTCTCCAGAGGACTTAATGCTTACAGAGTCTGTTGACACAGCAGGGCTTTGCTAACTCGGAGCACTCTGACTGAAACGCGTCAAGGAGTACAGCACAAGAACTTCACCAGCGGAGCAGAAAGCGTTGACAGCCGGCATGGTAACTCTTCCCCCCACACAGCCACCTCTAGAAAACAATATCCATGCTCATCTTAGCCTAAAAGCTTAAAGGCGCTGCTACATTCCCCTTCTTAAACAATCCAGTTTTGGATGCATGGCAGGAAGGTAACACAACAAGAGTATCCGATGTAATAAATAAACAGAGAAGAAATTTTTCTTGCTCTTTTTTCCTTTCTTATCATCCTCTTTTTTGTCCTTCCGTGCCTGAGCCAGTCTATCTTCATAAACTTGTTTTTATTTCTGTTGTAATTTTTTTTCTTTCCTTTTGTTTTCATCTTCTTTTCTTGGAAACCCATATAATTCTGGTGAGGACCTGCTCTTGGGAACAATAAATAAAGTATACCTATATGTTTCTTCTGCCTTGGGGAAATGTTGTTGTCAAAATGCATAGAATATTTTATCACAGACTGCTTAGAATTCCATGGACAAATATTACTGAAACCTTGATTTTTATTCCCAGCATGTACTGTTTAGCAAATAACACTCTTGTCCAACTTCTAGCAAAGATGTTGCAGCTGCAGTTTTCTTTTCTGCCTTTCCTTGTCTTTGTGAAAATAAATCATCACCACTCTGTGACAGTAAAACAGCGAGGTAACCGTTCTCATCTTTGGCATTTCTTATCATTGTCAAAATAAATACTCGCATCTGTGCAACTTAAATGTGAAATGATGTCTTCCCTTTTTGGAACCAGCGAATACTAGCAACAGCAAGCTGTCACCTGAAAATAAAACAAACAATTAAAGTGAAATTTATGCTAAAAATTCTGTACCGCTCAGGAAAACAGAGCTCCCATCCCTGAAAATTCAGTCTGTGCCTTTACAAAGGAGGTTATTGAGGTTGTGATAAAAGTGACCATGATATTCATGTTACTGAGCTGCTGAGATAGATAGTACCAAATAATATCTTAGCTCCCTAAAAGTGCTAAACATGAAACCAAAGCAAAAAATTCTAACACTTGCTACCATGGGCTGCCCATTGAAAACATATTAGAAGAATTGTTAGGGTTTCTGCATAAAAAATTGCTGAAAGGACTGCCCTGAGATTTAAGTGTATTGAGAAAGAAAACACTTGGAGGGAGGAGATCCGGCTCTACTAGGAGGACTTCAGGACACCAATGAAACAAAGCACCTCGGAAGCTTGTGGCTGAGCAGTGAGGACCACAAAGATGTTTTAAGTAGATCACTGGGGCTGGCCTAAACAAAAGTCATAAGATCCGTGTAATTAATGTATAAATAAAGTTGTACACTGGTCTGAGTACATGATTCATGATATCTGATGCTGAAAGTGCTTCATACACAGATTCTTACACCATTACAGCAAATAGAGTTCTGCAGATCTTCTGCAAGAAGATCTGTTTAAATGTTCTCCATTGTAAACGCCTCGAGGAAAGGTTTGTTTTGCTTCTATATTGCCAGACACAAAAGCTGCTTAATCCTATTTGATGTCTCTGAACACTGCTGCAGTAGGGCCATTCAAAAATAATTGATACATGTTTATGGATTGCTTCTTACATTCATTAAGACAAATTAAATCAAGTTCCATCATACACGCAGGCAAAGAAAACCTGAAATAATACCTTGAGCTCTTCCATTTTCACACACTTCAAAGAAAAGCCTGAGAACACCATTCAGGCTATGCTGCTTGTTCGAACAACTGCCAGAGAAGCAGGACTGGCTCATCTAATAGGCAAACACTTTATGGATGCAGATAGGCCAAAACAGAGCTCCTTTACTGAAATATCTTGACCCAATATTGCCAAGAACGAAATTCTGCCATAGATGTGGCAAGAATAAAGACGGTTTACCAGCTGGTGTTTTTTTTTTTCCCTTTTAGAGAGATGTGTGTTTTCTCTGTCACGGAGATCTGACAGGCTGTTGTCTACCGAGCCCCAAAGCTGCCCTGAGCTCCTAGTCCAGTCTCTGCAGCTCACAAGTAGCTTCTCTGCTACCAGCATCCCAGGTCTTCGTAACTCATCAGACAGCAAGGCCAGAAACGTGCCAAGCAGACACTATTGGCTTTTGGTCACCCATTGTAAACCGTGACCTCTTTGGTAGAAACGAGCCACAAGTCCCAGGCACAGCTGGCACAGGCTGCACCAAGGACAGACCCATAAGTAGGGACATACCAGGAGCTGGCAGCGTCAACGCTTTGGCCTTGGTTAGCAGCATTTTTGCCTTGGTAAGAATTCAGAGCTCCAGATGCCCCACAGACTTCCCTTCATGAACATTTAGCCCAGTTTGAGGAAAGAGAAAGCCGAGGACGCTCAGCCCGCATAGGCCCATCCGTCTGAAGCTGGACGGGAAGCGCTGACCTGCTGTCTTCAGCAGCTGCTCTAAGTCCCCAAACAAACAAAGAAAACCCCCAGTGGTAATTACCACCCGTATTTTACATATCCCGTGCTATTTATCAGCGGTAGAACAATGTATGTGCTTAGGGAATATCTCTTGACATGGCAGCTTGGGCTTTATTTCACATTTCTTTTAGCTAACATAGGAAACAGAAGACCTTTCAATAACTAGAAAAGATTCCATTTTTTTACGGACAGTATTCAGGCGGAGCTCAACTGGTTCCGCTGGTGAGACTTCAGCCGAGCAAGGCTACTGCTCCACCTGCTGGGTGCAAGTCAGGGCTCTGAGGAGAGCGCTGTGCCTCGGCCTGCTCGGCTCCGGCTGTGGAGTGGCAAAGAGCCAGGTTTAATCTCCGTCAAAGCCAAGTCTGAACTTCTTCAGAGCCAGGTTTGATCGCCTCCAGAGCCCCGCCTGAGGTCCGAGACACTCACCACACAGGCCTTCCCCTGGGTCATCGCAGCCCTTTGGGGCAGCAGCTCCGACCGAAGAGTACCTGCCATGATGGGAAACACTCTTCTCGTTTGCTGCTGCGGGTTTGTGAACGCAGCCGGCGGACACCGCCAGGCC